CAAATTTACTTTTAATCTCTATGCCTTTTAGCCACAGTGGGGGAAAGATGTAGTCAGTTCAAACTCACAGCACTAGCAGAGAGATGTTTATGGTCTGAAATCATCCCTTTTTGAGTTTCTTTTCTTCCAGCCTCAGGTACCATATTTTATCACATTTTATGCCATTTTTTTTGTTTGTTTTGTTTTTTTGCAAAAAAGTAGGTTGTGACCATTATGTGAAGCTTTTTTTAAAAAAATTGTGCCAATATCATTTATTACTAAATTGTCTTTGATGCAAGACTAGGATACATGGAGTACTCATAAATATGTGTTAAAATTGGGAAGATGCAAGTCTTACTGTATCACGTGACTTACTTTTGACAGCTTTGCCTGCCCGCCTGCTCCCCCTGTGCCTACAGCTCTTCATTGGATTGAATGACAATACAGTTAGTACTGCAGTGCTCTAAACAAACAATGAAAGTCAGCTTTCAGAAATATACTGACAATGCATGCGTGCTGAGAATTCTAGGCTCATGGCTTGCAATGTGCAAGAGATAAATCTGGATCCATATGCCACTCGTGAATACATTGCTGCTTTGTTTACATTTTAAGCTGCATGATGAACAGAATTATACATGTGACTATTGTGTGATGAAAGGTTATAAACCAATTTTTGGACTAAAAAAAAAAAACAAGGTGTGATGAGTATGTGGTAAAATATGATAGGTATCCTGAAAAGCCTGAATTAAAACTTGAATTTCTGCCTATATCATATATATTTTATCATATTAAGAAATAAAAATCCTTTGACCCAACAGTACCACTTCTAGGGTTGTTTCCCAAAGAGATCATAAAAATGGGAAAAGGGCTTTGATGTACAAAAATTTTTGTAGCAGCTCTTTTGTAGTAGCAAAGAATTGGAAAATGAGGGGATGTCCATCAATTGGGGAGTGGCTGAATAAGTTGTAGTATATGAATGTAATGGAATACTTTTGTGCTGTAAGAAATGATGAGCAGGCAGACATCAGAAAAGCCTAGAAAGACTTATATGAATTGATGCTAAGTGAACCAAGAGTAGAACCAGAAGAATGTTGTACACAGTAACAGCCACACTGTATGATAACTAATTTTATAGACTTAGCTCTTCTCAGTGACAAAAGTATCTAAGACAACTCCAAAAGACTCATGATGGAAAATGCTGTCCACAACCAGAGAAAGAACTATGGAGTCTGAATGCAGATGGAAGCATGCTATTTGCTCTCTCTTTTTTGTTTTATTTTGTTTCTTCTTTCTCTTGGTTCCTCCCATTCATTCTAATTCTTCATTACAACATGAATAATATGAAAATATATTTAATAAGAATGTGTATGTAGAGCCTATATCAGATTGCATGCTGTCTTGGGGAGGGGGAAGGGAAGGAGGGAGGAGAAGAAAATCTAAAACTCAAAAGCTTATGGAAATGAATGTTGAAAACTAAAAACAAATTAATTTTTAAAAATAAATAAACATAATAAGCATCGCCTAGCATACTATATGTGTGCGTCTGTGTGTAATATCTCACCTTTCCCCTATCTTCCCTGTTCTTTACCACCTCTATGTGTTTGCTTATGCTCTTCTTTATGCTTAAAATATCATCCCCTTCCTGTTGAATTCCTATCCATCCTTTAAAACTCAACTTAAGTAACACCTCCTCCATGAAACATTTCATCTTCAATCTGATAATGAGTTGTCTCCCCTCAGACCTCACACAGTGTTTTGTAAACATCTCTGTAATAAACTTAGTATCTGGTATTACATTATCTAGATAGCTATATCAACTCCCAATCTCCACTAGACACAAAGTTCCATGAACATAGGGATCCTGTCTTATCTAAACTTTTTACCTTCCTTAGTGCCTAGCACAGTGTTGTGTACACATAAACATTGGCAGAATTGACCTGAATTCAAGGGTAAAAGATACTTGTATGTCTAGCTCTCCTGACAATACTGGGCTCATAAAATGACAGTGAAGCACATTTAAGCCTAGGTCTCCATTCTACAAGTGATCCTCATCACGGAAATAAGAGATTCTGTAATTTGACTTTCAAGCTAAGGTTTTGGGTAGCAGGCTCAGAAGGTGTTGTTGCTCGTTCCTACTGAGCCAAGTCAGGCAGGCCCAGAGCACCTTATGTTTTCAAGACCTTCTGTTCTCAATTTAGAGGCAGTTCCTCCCAACCATCCTACTTGCTAGCTGAGAATTCATTTTTCATAGGAGATTGACCTGAAGGCATAAATGAAATCGGTAGAAGAGATCAGAGAAGGACAGTAAAGCATCTCAATTTCCAGGCTTCCTACTCTCTAACCTGGGGATTATATTGCTTCCTACATTTAACACATTCTGATCTGTCTTGTAGTTATTTGTGTCAGGGCCTTAGCTTCTCTACTGGATTGTAAGTTCCTGGCTGGGTGAGACAAAGTCTTGCTCATAATTGCCTTATACGTCACCTAATGTAATTCACAGCAAATGGTGTGCTTTTTGAATTGAATCATGTGGGAGACTATACCTTGTAATTCTTGCAGCAAACTCTCTCAGATTTATAGTCACTGCCTCCTCAAAACGGGTGCCCCTTCATTTTGCCCTGCCCCTTTTCTAGATTCTTCTACTCCCTAACAATGCCTGGAGCCTTCCAAACTAGAAATGCCCAGCTTCCAAATAAATTGGTGCTTACTTGCCTATGACATCAGAGACAGAAAATCAATCAAATAAATGGGAGTGAGACCTCAGTCCCTCTTATAAAATGCCTTGTCCTTTTTCACATCATAAACCTATCCTCTTATGTGGAACTGAGCCAGGGTGACCCATAATGAACTGAGTAGGGATGATAAGAGCCTGGCATAACCTAGGTATCATCAGAGGGCATCTCTGGCATGATTGATGGTCCTCTCCTTTCCACCCCAAGCTGTGTCACCAAGTCCTGTTCTCCCAGAGTTGAGAAATGGTATAGGGAATATGGTGCTGGGCTTGGGATTAAGATCTGAGTTTGAATCTTGCCTCAGACACTTCTTAGCTGTGTGGCACAGAGTAAGTCACAACCTCTCTCAGACTCAACTTTCTCATCTGTAAAATCAGGATAATAAGAACACTTACCTTAAAAGATTGTTACAAGGATTGATGAGGCAATATATGTAAAGTGCTTTGTAACCTTAATGTACATTATAAATATTACTATTATTATCATTCCCAGTCAGACTGAAAATTCTTTGACAGCAGGGACCCCCAGGTCTTCTATTTCTTTGTGCCTCTTACAGCAATTAATACATAATGCTGACCACAGCTGCTGCTCAAATATTTGTGTGTTGATTGATCCTATTACAGATTTCATGATTTCTCATCCAAAATAGTTCACTCAATCTTTCGTTATTTAGCATTTTTTGTTCTTTCGGTTCTGAAAATTGTGAATTCTGATTCCCCCAAAATGGAATTCTTAGGGATCCAAGAACTGGCCCCTCCTATTCTAATGAGTAGGAACGGTTGCACCTATCTCTGCCTGGAGTGTGCATTTTTGAGCCCTCCAAACAAGAGCACAGAACTTGAGATCTTGTAAAATCCCCTGGATTTCTCCCAGAGGGAATTTTATATGTGAATATTTACCAGAGGGTGTCTAGCTCTCTGTTTATTCATATCTGAAAATGAATTAAAACAGAAGTAGACTGGTATATGGAAAGGAGTGATAGTACTTGAAATCTAGAAAGATGTGCAGCATTTCAACAGTGTTTGGTTACTTATGCAGGTTTGCTTGTTGCCATGGTTACTGATTCATTCGAAGTTGTTTCCTTACCTGAGACAGACACTGTGCCACTTCAGTAAAAATCAAGGGAGTGTTGTTACTCTGTGTTCTCCATCCATGAATAAAAGTTGCCAAAGAACATCTAGAGTTGGGATTTGATTCCAGATTCAGTGAAATCTTAAATATTCATCACAGAATAGCTAGAAATGGAGTGCTGTTGTGGTATGCCAAAAATACTTTAAACTGAGAGCCAGGAGATCCCAGCTGTGCCACAAATTTTCTTTATCCCCATAAGAAAAAATGCACCCCAGTTTCCCACCTACAAAATAATGGGGTTGTACTTAAATGACTTTTATGGTCCATTTCAGCTTTGAAAGTCTATTACTTTATGACAAAGACACCATTTTCATATCTGTCTTCAGAATATCCTTTCCAGGGTACTAAAATCACTCTGAAGTCTATGGTTCTGGAAAGGGGGAAAGCATATCACCTTCTTAATTAAAAAAAATATATATTATATTTTTTTCCAATTACATGTAAAAACAATTTTACTTTTTTTTTTTACAATTTTACAATTTTGAGTCCCAAATTCTCTTCCACCTGCCTCCCCCACCACTGAGAAGGAAAGCAGTTTGACAAAGGTTATACATGTGCAGTCATGCAAAACATATTTCCATATTAGTCATGTTGTGAAAGAAAACAGATAAGAAAATCAATGAAAAATAAAGTTTTTTAAAAAAATTATGCTTCAATCTGCATTCAGATTCCCTGAGGTCTTTCTCTTTAGAAGGATACCATTTTTCATCATAGGTCCTTCAGAACTGTCTTGGATCTTTGTATTGCTGAGAATAACTAAGTCACTCATAGTTCATCATACAATATTGCCATTGCCATGTACAGTGTTTTCCTGGTTCTGCTCACTTCACTTTGCATCAGTTCATATTAGTTTTTCCAGGTTTTTATGAAAGCACTCTGCCCATCATTTCTCATACCACAATAGTATTCCCTCACAATCATATGCCACAACTTGTTCAGCCACTCCCCAATTGAGCATCCTCTCAATTTCCAACTCTCTGTGATGACAAAAGGAGATGCTGTAAATAGTTCTGCACATATAGATCCTTTTCCTTTTTTAAAATCGCTTTGGTATACAGAGCCACCCCCTTTATTTTTGTATATAAACTCTGTGTCATTATGATCTGCTTTCTTCTAGAAATAATTACAAACATCCCTTCATTTCTGCTCTGGCCTTAGGAACTCCTTCACTGACATTCTCCGGGCTATTCTGTTGTCATTGGAAGTTCTTATCGAGGACCCAGAACTTCAGATAAATGGATTCATTTTAATTATAGACTGGAGCAATTTCTCCTTCAAACAAGCCTCCAAACTCACACCTTCAATCTCAAACTGGCCATCGAAGGATTACAGGTATGTGCGTACACATCTATCTGAATGTGCAAATGCATACCTAATAATTGCGGGTGTGTACACACGAGCATGTGTGTGTGTGTGTGTATGTGTGCGCGTGTGTGTGTTAATCATAATCTGAATAATACTTCTCATTAAGAGGAATGAAAATGGGATAAAATTCACCTGTACATACCCCCAATTCTTATCCAGCCTAAGTCTGAGATATTTGTATTTTATTATGTTTTTTGTTTTTATTTAAACTTTATTCTTGCTACAATCATATATACTTGCTAAAACAATTACAAATAATGATCAAAGATTTACACTTAAATTAATCCATTTAGATTCATAAAGATTAAAGACATGCACTTCTGTCTGACAGAAAGTATGGGGGAAGGGGAAGGAGAGAGTGGAATATACTTAGGAGGAGAGCAAAAGGAAGAGAGCAGATATTAGTAGGGGCTATTTTTATGATTTAAAGTACTTGCCTTTTTATGGTTTAAAGCACTTGCCTTCTTGTGTGTACTCAAAGAGGCTTTCTGTGGGATCCTACATCCCATGAACTTGGGCTTCCCTAGATTTCCAGTGGGGAAATGCATCTTGCATGAATATTGATTTATAGCTCGTGGTTTCAGTGTGTAGGAGATGGTTTGTATTCATTTAAAGGAAATGGATAAAACAATACCTAGCTGCTACAGAAAGCTGCAACGGGGAGATGGGGATAACTGGACCAGATGTTTTCTCAGGTCCCTTCTAACACCATCATTTCAACATCAGCAATTTATATCCAAGAGGATTAGGAAGTGGTATAGTGGAGAGAATTTGGGGCTTGGAATTTAGAAGACCTGAAATCTTGCTTCAGACACTTACTAGTTGTGTGGCCCTGGGCAAAGTCACTTAGCCTCTTCTAGCCTCAGTTTCCTCATTTGTAAAATGGGGATAACAATAGCACCTACCTTACAAGATTAATGCAAGAATCATATGAATATATGTAAGGTCCTTTACAAATTTTAAAGCACTATACACAAATGTCATTTTTGTAATACCAAACTATCACAAAGTTATAGAAATATTTTAAAATATTCAGAATTAAAATATTTTTCTTCCATGGCTGCCCAGTTTTGCTAAGGGCTAAAAGCACCTCCAGGTTGGTAGGATTGTAGATGCTGAGCCAGAAGTCCCCTCAGACATCATCTGGTCAGTTTGTTAGTGAGAAGACTGAGGTCCAGAGAGAATGAGTGATGTGATCAAAAACACAAGAGGTGGCAAGTGGCAGAGTTAGGATTGTATCCAGGTCCTCCTGCGCTAGCTCCATCTCTTTAGTTATGTAAGCTCTACTTGTGACATTTGCGTCCATTTCACAAACACGGCCTAAATGAGTGAATGCAGCTTCTTCTGGGTGTCAGTGTCTCCTCACTGACACCTGGGGATAATTGAAGCATTGGAAAAATCTGAATTGACACGTACAAAGTTCATCTAGCCTTAATTAGTTGCATGACCCTGGACAAGTCACTTAACCTCTATTTGCCTCAGTTTCCTCATCTATAAAATGGAGATAATAACAGCATCTACCTCCCACGGTTGTTGTGAATATCAAATGAGATGATAATGTAAAGTGCTTAGCACAATGCCTGGCAAGTGAGAGGTTTTATATAAATGCTAGCTGCTGCTGCTACTACTACCATTTATTATCTTTATTATTATTTCCCTTTCTCAGAGTAACATCCTCTTGGTCATCACTTATATGCAAACTGTTCTCAAGTTTTAGGCTATGTGTGGTACTGGCCTCAATAGGAAGGAGCTACAGAGGCCCTGGGAGGTTCTGGAGTGTGTGTGTGTGTGTGTGTGTGTGTGTGTGTGTGTGTGTGTGTGTGTGTGTAAAAACACCTCTGCATACCAAAGGGCAAGTAATAATCCATGTCCCTTAATAATATTAGCCCCTAAAGGGTTCTATGAGATCTGTTAAATATCTTGCTTACCCCAAGCATTTAGTAAAGAGTGAATAAAAATTAATAGTTACTGTACATAATTTTTCTTGACTTTCAAAATTCAATGTTGGAAAAATGGGGATATTATCAATAAGGAACAAATGATTTTTAAAATTATTACTACTTGTGCTTTCCAAAGAATAAGTTCATGCTGGGCCTCATCTTTAAAAATCCTACCTTAAAAAGGAAGAAAAGTAGATTCCCTACTATATAACTCTAAATATTCAAGAGTGTTCTCTTCTTAGTCTTTTTCTCTTGGTTTCAAATCTTTTTCTCCCCCAAATCTCTTCCCTCGATTATATTTTTGAACAGATAACTTGACCCTTCTTTAAAACCACCATCAAAGACAGTTTTAAATTAAGCCTTAAGGGGTGAATTACTATCCTAGTGGCCTGACCTCCCTGTTTGAAATACTTGACATCTCTGGTATCAGACTTTTAAATCCTAGTGGTTTTGCCTCAGCCCTTAATCCTTCATAAATGGATGTCATATTATTTTCTTACTAGCTAAGGCCTTAAATTAGGAATCAACAGATGCTCTGAAAGATTATGTGATGGTGTTAAGGAGGAAGGGTTTGCACTGGTTTGTCGAAAATAAAATTTCAGGAACCAATGAAATATTCTTGTTAGAATTTCTCCCGTGGATAGTCCTATGCTAGGAACACAAAAGCCGATTTCAGATTGTCCAGAGAGGTTACCCTACAACCAACTACCAACTAACTAAGATTACCTGGGCTTTTTACTTCCTCTCTTCATACTTTCCATATTTTATTATCCTCATTGCTTTTTGTTTTTCATCCTCTCTCACTTGCAGTAAGTAACACTGAATCTCAGGACCTTGGTTCTCTACCAGCACTGTCACTTATTCATTGTCTGACATTATAAAAATCACTTAATCTTTCTGGGTCTCAGTCTCCTCATCAATAAAATGGAGATAATAATTGCTGTATCACATAGTAGGCTTCTTGTGATAATCACAAGAGATAAGATATGAGACCCTTCCATCCAAGCACTGGTTGAAGAACTTGCTAAGTTAAGCTAGGAATAGAGAAGACTTAGGGGACGTGATAAGCTTAAAGTAACTGAAAGTCTGTCACTGGAAAAGAAATTAGACAATCTGCTTGTCCACAGAAGACAGAACTGGAAACAATGTGGATGGACATAGGAGAGATGAGAGTTATAGAAGTCATTTCTTGATAAAAGGAAAACTTGCTAACAATGTGAATGGTCCATGAGTTGAAGGGGCTACCTAGGTTGGTAGGGGATTCCTGAGGTCTTCAAGCAGAGTGTGGGTGAGCATTTGCATAGAGGTTGGACTTCATGGTGTCTTAGTGCCCTTCTGATGCTAGGATTCTGTGAGTCTGTATTCACTGTAGATGAAAGTGCTTTAAAACCTATAAAGCAGAATATAAATGCAATATGGTATCACTGATGCCTGGAAAAAGAAAAGAACATAAAACTTAAACCACTTCAATTTAATATTACCATATTAAACATAGCAGTTCATGAGATCACAGATTTAGATGAAGGATAGACCATAAGAGATCATTTAGTCTATTGATAGATAGATATAGATATAGATTACATAGTTGAATCCATTGTGCATATGAGGAAACTGAGGCCCGAGTTAAGTGACTTGCCCCAAAGTTGCACAGGTGATAAGTAGGAGAACCTGGATTTCAACTAGGCTGAAATGGCTTGTTTGGATTGTCTGTGAATTTCAGTTATCCATTCTCTAGGCTGAGCTGCTTATTATGATTAACTAACTGAACCTTAGATGTTATCTTCCTTAATACTCACTATTTACCCATAGTCCCTACTTCAGGCCCTCCTAACCCTCCTTCATATTTTTATTAACTTAACCAGAATTCTTTCCTTCATAATATTCTTAGCTCTTAGGCTTTCAAGACGCATTGAAAAGGAATTGGATTAACTCACAATTAGTTCATGAAAGACTGCATACATTTTTTTTAATGATAATATCTGTCTTTGCAGTAATTGTAATGTCATTAACATTTTTCTTATTATCAAGAACAGATTTCTCAGAAATACTGTTTCTTAACTGTGTAGTTCTTTTAAACAGGGATTTAATAGTACATCTCTTACTGACACAAAGACTAGTTAAATCCGTGTGCCCTACTTAGAAAATTAAAGGCCATGTACTGTCTATAATCCATTCTTCAAAACCTATTAGCATCTGTAGAAGCTCTGAATGGATATCAAGAGCAATGCACACTAAGTACATGGTGCAGTGAATAAGGAATGGAATTCATGAGAAAACAGAAATCTAAAGCGTTTCCTTCATTTCTGACTTGCTGTGTGATCTCAGGCAGCTGCAATAACCTCCCTGTGGTTAAATATCCCGGATTGGAATGTGTGAATGATTGATTGTGTTTGCCACCTGCTTTCCCCACAGAAAAGCCACTGAGGATAAATGAGATATCTCTGCTAAATGTTCTGAATCCCTTCACATAAAGTCTCCAGGAAAAGAGAAAATAATTATCATGAATCTCCTCATTCAGCTTCCCTCTGCAAAACTGATTATTTCTTGTGTACATGTAGGACCTACTAACCTGAAAGCAGAGGTGATAACAAGTAATGTTCAGGGGGTGGAAACTGGGCTAATGACCCTTAGAGAGAAACTTCTATTTAGTTCTCCTAGTTTCTGTCCTTCAAAAAATGATTAGACTGATGATGATTAGACTAATGATGGTTGTCCTAGAATAAATGGCATGTGAATTACTCTTTGCAAAATAAGTTGTAGCAATAATTACAGAGAAAATTATTCTTTGAAGGAAGTATCTGGTAGTAATATCTGAAGTTTTGTTCTGTCAGTTCATCATAACTATATTCATTAATCTGTTAGTGAGATGCATTGTGGGACATTTCAGTTTTTAGACTATTAAATTGTCCCAATTGCATAGATATTTTGGGAATTTCATTTCAAAGAATCTTCATTAAAATATGGATTTTGCAAATACCTGAAAGATATTTTATTTAAATCTTGAGGTTAGCTTTTAAATACATTCAG